ATCTTATTATCTTGTTTTCTTGTTATCTTATTATCTGATTATTTGATTTTATTCATTACTTGAAATTTCTAAGGGATTCAACATCTGGCTGCAAAGATTAAGGATTTAGCGAACCATATGTTTGTCAAAAATTCAATTCTTTATTAAAATAATTTTAATGTGAGATTTTCCAAAAAATGAGAACATTTTCATGAGAAATTAAAATTTGATACATATTTTGATTTGTTGTTGGTTTTCATATTTCATATAATCAGTTATGCATATGGTATAAAGTTTAAGCTATTAATCTAATACTGGCAATCTACAGTTTTATATTATTATATTATTATTATATAATTTGGCATATTTTCTGCAGATGCTCTTGTTAAATTGTTTTGACAAATATCATGTTTCCTCTTATATTTACATCTATATAAGTACACACGTGGGAAAGTACATTTTACAAATATATATAATGATTACTAAATGCTACCAGAAACATTCAAAAGTTAGGGCACTCTGACAATTATACTTGAGATCATTTTAATCCATTCATCGAGGATTAACTAAGGATTTGGAAGGATTAGAATACTGTAAGGAAGAATTAGAAACGCTATGCTGAATGCCGATTGAATAAGGAAAGGGTGAGAAAAAATGGAAAGAAAGGATAAGTGAAAGGTTACGAAGGATAAAGAAGTCTTAAAACGGAAACCCACAGGATTAAGAAGGACTGTAACAGATATACAAAGGATTAAGAAGGATTAAAATGGATATACAAAGGATTAAGAAGGACTAGAACGGATATACAATAAATTAAGAAGGATTAAAATGGACATACAAAGGATTAAGAAGGATTATAACGGATATACAAAGGATTAAGAAGGATTAGAACGGATATACAAAGGATTAAGAAGGATTAGAATGGATATATAAAGGATTAAGAAGGATTAGAACGGATATACAAGATTAGAACGGATATACAAAGGATTAAGAAGGATTAGAATGGATATATAAAGGATTAAGAAGGATTAGAACGGATATACAAAGGATTAAGAAGGACTAGAACGGATATAGGAAAGATTAATAAAGACTAGAACGGATATAGGAAGGAATAGAACGGGACTAGGAATGATTAGAGCTGTACTAAGAATGATTTAAACTGAACTAGAAAGTATTAGAACGGGATTAGGAAGGATTAGAACGGGCTTAGGTAGGATTAGAACGGGATTAGGTAGGATTAGAACGGGATTAGGTAGGATTAGAACGGGATTAGGAAGGATTAGAACGGGATTATGTAGGATTAGAACGGGTTTAGGTAGGATTAGAACGGGGTTGTATTTGTCTCCTCCTGGAAACCTTCTCCTTCTCGTCTACTGTTTATCTCAAGTTCTACAACCCTGAACATAAACACTAGAATTAATAATATTTATTTAATATAAGCTCCTGGTAAAACATTTTATTTTACAAGACAAAAAAATAGAAAAATTTCAATATTTAAAAATTTTTTAATCGGATAGTCATAGACATTAGTCATATTATGCAACTTATGCATCAAGAGTCACAGTGTTCAGAACTAAAAGGCACTTGTGCAATGTTGTGCAAACTACAGGAAAGTTTCAAAATTGGAAAAAATAAAATTAAATGAAATTTTTAAAAAAAAGAGTAGATACTAAATAAACACCCAAATGTATCCAATTCTATTATGGATAATACGGCCTGCAATTCCCTAGTGGAGAGGGTGGCTTTATCTATATATATACTTTGCTTGTCTGTCTGTCTGTTTGTATCTAATTAACGTCAAAATGTCTAAACCGATCGAGCCCAAATTTTGTGTGGGACATCACATGACCCTAGGGAAGTTTTATGAATGATCAAAATTTCAAAAATTAGCCTCAACAAAATTCGATTTTCATTTAATTTTCAAATTTTCATTTGATGAAATACGCAAACTTTTGATATTATTTTACAGTGTAAACAAAGAGGAAATGTTCACAATGGAAATAGAAGATGGGTGCTAAGGTTTAGATAAATGCACAAAACTTTTAATTAATATTTTCACCAAACATCTGAGACTTATAACAATATTTCTGAAGGCAGAAAGCATCACTTTCCTTTGCTTTAATGTTTATCACATATCCCATAAATACGAATACAATAAGTGAATTTGCATAATGTCGTTTCTTATCATAAAGAAATTGAGTCTTTTTCACAAACTCTGATTTCTTAATTCCTAAATCTTTAGAACCCATGATGTTGTAGAACTGAGATATTTCAAATTATGAATTATGTTAGATAGATAAATATAGTGTTCAACAAATTTGGTTTTGTGACAAAGGTCCAATTCCTTTATGCTCAATTGCTGCGAATATAATGTGTTTTAATGAAGCAATGACGCAATTTTAAACAATTTAGCGCCAAATCATATAGAGCTGTTTTTTATTGTTCTGCGTCAGAGCATATTATTGCTCTTTACAAAAGAAATTAAACTAATTTTATTCCAAAAGAAAACTTAAAATCTCAACACAAAATATTGTTTGATTATATTTAGTAAATTACTCATATTCCTCTGCGAGCAGTTTGGGAAAATACGCGACAGCATTATATTATCCTTCTTTTTATATAACGATTATGGCGTCGCTGAAATCTGAAAAATTCCTTTTTAAAAATTGTATTATAAAATATGGGATCTACATTATACAGTGTGAATTTCAGAAAAAAAATCCCTAGAAAACCTCAAAAAATCAGCAATATCTTTTTACTTACTTAATCTTGAATTGCAAAAATTGGCCAATATTTTTTAAACAAAAGTATTTTTTACCAGAAAAAATGTGTCCCAATATAATTCTAGATTAAAACCAAGCAACTCATTCCAGATGTGCAATATAATTTATTGTTATAAATTAGAATGTCAAAAACATTAAACACTCTTGTTTGATTTACTCTCATCTAATACAGAGAAGTCAAATTACACGGAACTTTCCTATTTGGAATACTTACAAAAGTTGAAGGGTAAAAGGTGTTAACAAGGGCGGAGCGATCGCTGAACTACCAACCACCGGTTCAAACCTTGAATCATCGATTCAAAGTTAAATATTCCGATCGATGATTCCGGTCTTGAACCTGCGGGCGCGCGAATAAAGGTAGTTCAGCTACCTCTTCTCTTCATTCGGTCCCTTGGGTATATTTTTAAATTAATAAATAATAATGAACATGAGAAAATAATATTCCTCCCACCTATACATCACGAATTTTTTGTATCTCGCCAATCTTTAATGTTTACATTCGGTAAATATATTCTGCCAGAAGCTACAAGTTTTAAAACTATTTGAAACAATCTCTAAAGATAAAAAAATTCCCCAATTCAATTTGAACATTTTGATTTTCGTCAAATAGACTGTATATTGTGTAAACTCAAGAAATATTTTGTTATTTAGGATTAACATAGTATTTAGAATATAGAGAGGGGAATAGGTTTTATTTTCATTTTCCCTTGGCGTTTAAGAAGTAAACAGCAACGTGTTATTTTGTAAAAAACAGTTATTGGCCAGGCAACAGATTTGTTATTGTAGTTCTTGATCTTCTTCATCTACAAAGTTACCCACAAGGGTGTGACTGAAATGACGACTGTACGGAATTTATACTGTCTGTTTCCTTAAATATTCAAGATTACCTATAGTTTCCTTCTGAAACCAAAAATAAGTCGCTAAAAAACTATATTGCACAAGGACTTAATTTAACCATGGGATTGTCATATTTGAGGTTTTGAAGTCGTCTTTACAGTTTCAGTCTTTGTGGGTATTCCTGTATTCTATTACGTCACAGTAAATGTAAACAATTCCTCTCCGTAGTTCTCCTCTACTGTATCCAGACATTTATAAAAACTATGCATCATATTTCAAGACCGTGTCAACTCTGAAGCGTCACAACGCTTTCCCCTTTAGTTTTGATTAAACTTTTTTTGTAGACTAGAGGACATTGTTATTAAAATCCTAATATACTTTTGTTAGAGAGATTGCAGGGGTTTTGGTTCTATGTGGAGAAAACTGCGTTGCGATGAATACTGTTAAGCGAATTAACTACTAAGTTGCCAAATACAATTTATCCCAATTAAGATATGATTATGATTATAATTAGAAATAAGTTAGAAATAAGCTTCATGTTTAAATAAAGAACTGTTAAGAAAAGGGATATCTTAGTTTTGAAATCCTTCCTTTTGGAATTCTCCCCATGGACAAGTTATGATTGTTTGTTTGTCTGATTGGGCGTAATCCCTTCCAGTTGTTTACACTCAAACAAATATTAAAAAAAAAATTTTAATAGAAAATGTTTTTGTTAAAAAAGAACATGTATGTAATATTTTAATATTAAAAACCGCTCTGTCCAGATAAATTTTTTACCTAATCTAACTCAAAATATTGGATATTAATGAATTTATTCATTTACCACTTTTGCCCAGAAGTGCACAAAAATCAAGAAAAGGGGGGGGGGAATAAGCTAAATAATATTATAGGATAGAGGTGGGGAGGAAGGCCAGCCACAACAATATCTAGTCCGAGCCACATTCTCCTCATTTTCTCGTCCTAGCCACCTCAAATCCTCGTCCTTCCAATATTATTTTTTAAAAGTCCTCCAAGATAACACTATTTTTTAAGAATCGGGCCACGTTAGAGCATACATGATATATTGAATTTTAGTAAATCTAAACAATAGTTTCAATTGAATCAAAGTTTTCGAGTTATATAATGTCCTTAAAAATGTTCCCCTGTTTTACGAGCATTTTCAGATATTCCTGGTGTAGAATGCCGCAAATAATTCCGAGGTTATAGAACTTTAATCTTTTTTGTTAAAATTATAGTGAAAACCATATTTTTTCCGGGTGGTTTCATGGGGAAAATTATAGGCAGAGGCATGCGAAATATTTATTTTATATCACTAAGGTTGGCTATTACGGAGGAAGAAGAGTTTTAAGTTTTACCTAAATAAAGTTTGACATCATTCTCATGTCTCTAAAGATTCAAACATGATCTAATCATTGCAATACTTTAGTCTATCCATATTTTATGCCCTAACGTGGCCAGATTTGTTAAAAATAGTTTTATCTTCATGAATTAGAAACTTTAAAACACATAGTAATCAAAGGATGAGGATTTCGAAGTGGTTCGGACGAGAAAATGAGGAGAATGTGGCTCGGACGAGATATTGTTGTGGCTGGCCTTCCTCCCCTCGTTAGAGCCTAACTCTTGGCACATCAAAAATACTAATTTCCAGCCTCGGTCACGCGTTGTACTTTTATTAAACAAAATTTTAGTTGTCCATCCAATAGAATATCAGCGTTTTATCTGATGTGTTTCAGAACCAATGAAACCTAGAGAAACTGTATACTGACAGTGTTTTGGAAGTTATATAGAGGAGTTAAATTTAAATCTCAGACGAGAAGTGTAAGTGTCTGTTGCACATTGGGATAAAAACCGGTTTAATCTACTTTTTATCTGAAATTGCACAAACTCTCATTCTGATACAAATTCAATTTGAACGGATCTGTTGTTTTTATCTTTTCTAGCTCCATCCGACAATGCAGCTTCATTTTAAATAATTTTTTTACATAACACCAATTATCAACTCCGCTTCATTTCAATTACCCGGCCAATTTTTATTCATTTAAAGTAATCTGAGTGCACAGACAGAATTTACAAGGCAAAATATGAGGGTACACCAAATGAATCGTAATAATGGTAAGTTATGCAAGTTTTAAGTAATTTATTTTTTATTTTATTCATCTTTTTTTAGTTATTGATTTAGGAGATAAACAATAAGCGCAAGGAAAACCCTATGCTCTACAAGATTAAATGGTTAAAAGGTTGGTCATTCTGGGTAATAATGTCTAGATTGATTAGTTTAAAAACACTGAGAGTTAAAATCCTTGAAACGAAAATTATCACGTGACTTGCTCAAGTTTTTGTCACTGACTTTAAATTTGCAGATCTAGAGAACGATCATAATCATAATAAAAAGTTTAAAATAGCAAATACGAAAAATCCACATTTAGTTCGGGCTCACTGGAATTATAACCTGTAGTTTACTGCGGCATTTTTTATTTTTTCGTCTAAATGTTTTTTTTTGTATTCTATACACGAATTTCTGCAATATTGCGGATACTTTTTAAATCTAGATGACTAACCTCGGGGGTTGCAGATTCCGCAGAGCTATAGGTCGAGGCTGATTCAGAGGTCGAGGCTGATTCTTTAATGAACCTCGTCTCCAAGATACGCGGCGCTGAACTGAAGCTAAATACGAAAAAACTAAAATTTTCATTTTGTTTGATTTTTTATAAAATATTTGTTAATACGAACTACATGAACAATAATTTATATCTTGCAGATTCTTATTAAAACTATATTAAATATTTAATTTTTAATGAAAATATTACCTTTCAGCTTTGAAATAATGTTTCAATAACACAAAAATTTAACGTATATAAGTTATAACTCGTGTCACAACAAAAGTAAAGCACATATATAGATTTTAAATTTAAAAAATGTATTCTTTCTCTTCGAAAGCTTTACACATTTACTACATAAGATACTAACCCCCTACACCTCGGAACCAGGTATATAAAGGTGTAGATGAGTTAAACAGTAAACATTAAAACATCTATACATCCATTAATACATATATACAATATAAAACCTGTATCAAGGGGTAAAGTTTGTAACCGGGGGGATCGGTTGGAACAGCTCGGTAAATCTAGATTAATTAAACCTAATCTTGGATAATTAATGTGTTCATCAAAATTACCACTATTAATTAAACTTCTGTCTTAAAGTTAATTAATTTCATTAAAATATTAAATTCGGAAGATTTTCATTTATAATTCGAAAAATGTTCCCGTAAAAAGTTGTTATTAAACAATGTCTTCATTAAATCTTTCCAAGTTTTTCATTTCTTGTCCTCCATCCTTATTCTTTAATTAATATCCTTGATCCTTGATCGTATTTAATTTTGTAAAAAGTTTGACTTGATCTGTCTGAACGTGAGTAGGTATATATTAGCAAATATTGGGTTTAATATTTCTTCACAAGTTCGTTTCAGATAGAAATTAATACCGGCAAATATTTTACAGTGCATACAGTGCACCACACCGTTCAAACAAGAAGATAGATATACAGTATATTCATCAATTATTTCAGGATAGATAGACAGTATATCCATCCATTATTTCAGGATAGATAGACATTATATCCATCCATTATTTCAGGATAGATATAAGGATAGATAGACAGTATATCCATCCATTATTTCTGGATAGATAGAAAGATAGATAGATAGACAGTATATTTATCCATTATTTCTGGATAGATAGAAAGATAGATAGAAAATATATCCATCCATTATTTCTGGATAGACAGAAAGATAGATATAAAGTATATCCATCCATTATTTCTGGATAGATAGAAAGATAGATATAAAGTATATCCATCCATTATTTCTGGATAGATAGAAAGATAGATAGACAGTATATCCATCCATTATTTCAGATAGAAGGATAGATAGACANTATTTTTAATCCTACATCCTTCATCTTTAATCCTAGATCCTTAGACAGTATGTCCATCCATTATTTCAGGATAGATAGAATGATAGATAGACAAAATATCCATCCATTATTTCAGAATAGATAGAAGGATACATAGACAGTATATCCATCCATTATTTCAGGATACTTTTTGGAGCTTAATGGAATTGTCTATGTTGTATCATGTGATTTTATGCTTAAAAATTGGCTTGATGGAACTTTTAAACAGTAATCCATTATTTTTAAACAGTAATCCATTATGAAATGAGGAGTTTTATTTATCCTTAAAATTAATCATTTAATTTTAAAAGGAATTTTTAGAAAACGAGTAATGGAATTTATGAGAACTGAACTCCGCTTTTCTGTATATTTTAGATAGGAAAATGACGGATTGTACTAATCAAGGTTTTATTAAGGTTTCATGTTTTGAATGCTTGTAAAGGAACTGAACTTTTGCCACAAACTCTGACTTGCTATAACCCCTATATCTTTGCAACCCGAAGTCGTAAACCTTTGATATATTTCAAAATATGAATTATGTTAGATCAAATTGTCTAAGTTTGAAATATCAAAGGTTTACACCATCATATCGCAAAGATATAGAGATAATAAAATATGTGTTTGTGGCAAAAACTCAGTTCCTTTGTCTATTGAGTCTTTGCCACTAACTCTGATTCTCTGACCCTTTTAAAATTTGCAACCCGATGTCTAAATCCTTAGATTTTCAAACAATGAATTCTGTTAGATTAAATAATCAAGTTTTCAAAAATAAAAGAACTAGAAGAATCCATTCTTTTACCCATCGGGAAGCTATTCAGGAACTTAACAGGTTACAGAATGTTTGTTATTCAACAGATATATCCTAGTGCACCCTGAGACATGGAAAAAGTTAGGATACAGATAAACAATCCAATGAAAGAGTTAAAGACCCCCCCCCCCCAGCTTTGGACAGGTTGAGGCATAAATTCAATTCCAACTTTCTTTAATTCAGTTTTTTAGATTGTAAGTTTCCAAGGATGTCTGCCAAATAAATCTTCACATATATTCTATATAGCGCAGGAAACTTTAGATGGAGTTATAAAGCTTCAATGCATCTCATTTAAAGGTTTCCAGACACCGAATTTAAAGGGAGTGACCGGCAATGTATGGTAGTTGAACTGAGAATGTAGTATTGCGGAGAATTTATTTTAAGGATTCATTAGAGACATATAAAACGTTTTAATGATGTTTATTAATTACTGAGTTTGAGCGCAACGTCGACGTGGAAAGTCATCCATTTGGGTGGTTAAAATTTGAGAATCGATTTTTTCGATTAATTAGATGTTTAGGAACATATTTCTCAATTGAAATTTTCTCAAAAAATCAATGTTAGAATCAATTATTTCTTTTCATCATTATATTGAATTTCTTATTCTTATAAATTTGTTTTCAGATTTCTTCAAATTCTTCAAATGTCGTCTTTATAATAAAAATTCCCGAAATTCTACAAAAAAAGTTAGTGAACAATGATACATTACAGAAACCAATAACTGAATAAAATTACATTTTTTCGATGATAATAGTTAATTTTTATGTTCTCAACCTGTTTCTAAACAACTTATTAGTTTACTGTAGAATCTTTACTACATTTTTCGTTGTCGTTATTGAATAATTTTTTTAAAAACCGATTTGTTAAATCATCCCACAAACATTAACAATCTGAGGTTTTTAAAGATTGAATTTGCGCTCTTGACGAACAAGTAAGCACTGTGAAAACGTCTCATTGATCTCAAATGATTCCTAAAAAATGTCTCCACAAAACTACATTCTCAGTTCAACTTCCCTACATTGCCGGTCACTCCCTTAAATGAATTTAAGCTGCGTCGCTGAACCATATACTGCAGTCGGTTTAAATTTGAAGCACCGGTTCAAAGTTGAAGATTTAGGAAGGGTTTGAATAAGTGATTCCAATTTTAACCAGCACGGCGGAAGGCAGCTAAATTCATTTAATTCGGTCTCAGGTCAGACATAATCCTAATCCTTCATCTTTAATCCTAGATCCTTGATCTTAATTCTAAGATCCTTGATCTTAATTCTAAGAACCTTAATCTTAAATCTTAGATCCTTCATCTTTTATCCTAGATTATTCATATTTAGTCATAGAACATTCATCTATAATCCCAGATCCTTTTTATAGATCCTTTATCTTAAATCATATATCCTTCATATTTCATCATAGATCCTTCATTTTTAATCCTGTATTTTTCATCTTTAATCCTATATCTTTCATATTTAATCCTAGACCGTTAATTTTTATCCCAGATCCTTAATCTTAAATCCTAAATATTTGATCTATAATCCCAGATCCTTCATATTTATCCTAGATCCCTGATCTTAAATTTTAGATCCTTCATCTTTAATACTGGATCCTTTATCTATAATCCTGAATTCTTGAGGTTAAATCCTTGATCCTTCAACTTTAATCCTAGATCCTTGATCTTCAATCCTAGATCCTTGATCTTCAATCCTAGTTCCTTGATCCTTAATCCTAGATCCTTCATCTTTAATCCTAGATCCTTTATCTATAATCCTAGAATCTTTATTTTTAATCCTACATCCTTCATCTTTAATCCTAGATCCTTCATCTTTCATCCTAGATCCTTTATCTTTAATCCTAGATCTTAAATTTCTATTCCTGGATTTTTCATCTTTGATCATAGATCCTCAATCTTAAATCCTAGATCGTTCATTGTAAATCAAGTATCCTTCCTATTTATCAATCCTTCATCCTTAATAATGGATCCTGTTTACTTTATCCTAGATTCAATATCTATCTATCAATTAATGTAATTAATGACGAGTGTAAAGTGTACACTGTACACTCACAGCAATTAAGGCATTATCTATAAGGTGTTATAGAAATGTTTCCAAAGGCATTTTCCCATGTAGCAACTTCCCAAGGGTATTTTACCAAGTCCTATATTCTCAAATATGCAATTTCTCAAGCAGCTCGACCCCCTAGTCTTTTCTAGCCGCAGCGGTCGACCCCTAGCCATCCTAGTCGCTGCTATAAGCCCCCATTGCAGCGGGTGACCCTTTACAGAAAAGTTGTCACTTGGGAAGTTGTCACTTGGAAAGTTGCCACTTGGGAAAATGTCACTTGGGAAGTCGTGGTTGGAAAAATACCGTTTGGAAAATATCTAACCACTGCAAACTAATGAGAAGAGAAGGTTAAAGGGACAGACCGGCCATGTAAGGAAGTTGAACTGAGTATGCAGTGTTGTGGAAAGCTTCTTTTGAATTCATTTGAGACATATTAAACTTTTTAAAGATCTATAAATCCTGAGTTTGAGCGCAAATTCGACGTTCAAAACTCCTACTTTGGGGGTGGATACGTTTACAGAATTAGTTTTTTTTAATTATTAAATAACGACAAGGAAAAATAAAGTAAAAATTATAGAGTAATATAATTAGATGGTTAGGAACATATTTCTCTAAAAAAAATTGTCAATAAATCAATGCTAAAATCGATTATTTCGTTTTTAATATTATATTGAATTTCTTATTTTATTTGAATTTATTCGCAGATTTCTTTAAATTCTTCAAATGTCGTCTTTTCAATAATAGTTCTAGAAAATCTGCAGAAAATAGAAACTAATAATTGAACAAGATTACTTATTTTCGATGATAAGATTAATTTTTATTTTCTCAACATGTTCCTGTACATGACGTCTGTAGTTTATTGTAGAACTTTTTTTTACATTATATGTCGTCGTTATTTAATAATTTTAAAAAAACTAAAAAAGGTTTACAGCATGATGTTTCAAAACTAGAGTTAGAAGCAAGTAATCAGTTTCTTTCTCAAACAAACAAATTAATCTTTTTTTCCCTTGTTTTAGATAAATAGTTTCAAGGTTTGAAACCCTCATTTTTTCCGAATTTTTATATAATTGATATTTATGATACTTATAATGATTTTAACAATCTGAGATTTTTACAGATAATACTTTGTCTAAAAACTAAAAAAAAAACATAAAATCTACGGTGGTCCCCAAAATTATGTAGAAAAGAAAGTCGACCTAAATCCAATTCAAAAATGAATTTGTGAACACGTATTTTCGTAGATCCATATTGAATTGTTTTAACAGGGATTATTTCGGAAAACAAAATTTAAATTATGATTTTATGATTTGTTTTAAAATTGGTTACCCCTTTAAATTGTGTTACCCCTTTAAAACTATCTTATAAAAAAAAGTGGTGGATGTATTTCACATTATTCTCGAGACCACTGTATTTTGAATATTGAATATGGTTTCCTTGTACAATGCTACACTGTGTATATAGTATTATATAATATATAATATATAATAATATATTATCACAAACTAATAAAGGATCATCGTTTTCCAGCAGAAATACTTCCTATACATATCTCTTTATAATATTATATAATTCTAAACAAACATTTACTATTTTATTTATTTCGGATACTTACAGTTTCTGTCCATATCTCTGTTTATCTCCTTGTTGTTGCAGGAGAGCATGTTAATGAAGGACTGCCTAAAGTTGTTGCTGAAGATGACGTATATGATAGGATTGAGCATGGTGTGAGAGTACGACATGAATTCAATCCAGAACTTGTATGATCCCAACCAGCTGGGCAGCTAAAAAAAGAGATTTTAAAAATTATTTTCTTTTTTCCGCTGAAATTAAAAAAAATAGTTCTTTCTCCATGCTAACTTTTTTCCAATTCTCTTTTCTCTGCTGTTTCTTTTTATCTTACACTTTATTTTATTTCGTTTTCCCAATCTACTTTTTTCCTCTCAAATTCTCCAAGTCTTCCCTTTTATATTTTTCCCATTTTTCTCCATATTTTCTTTCCTTTTCATTTTTCACCCATTATGTCCTGTTTTTTTGTGTTTCTTATATTTTTTAGATCTTCCCCCCGTTCATTTCTTATTCTCTTTGCTATTTTTTTATTCTTCTGATTCTTATAATTCCCAATGGTAACCCTTTTCCCATGATTGGATTCCCTTCCTATTCCTCCAAATTTTATGTCATATACTGCTTCTTCTCTGCTTCATAGATTTTATGCTTTTAACTTTTTATGTTTTTGGTTTTATCCGTTCCTACTTTAAATTCAAGTCCTTCTACTGTATATTGAATTCCTTTCAGGATCTACGCAGCATCACGTTCCTTCTCTTTTCAACATATTTTAACGATAAACAGGATTTATATATATGTTCTACATTTTCAATATATATATAAAGTAGTGTTATCTCTATTTGTATGTAACCCTTGACATTTTTGCCTATATTTTAATTTGGGGAACAACGGGATTGTTCTAAGCGTAGTTTAAAGATTCTCAGTTGAGTAGGTGGACTTTTTTAGCAAACGTTTCAGGAAAAACTGGGTTCCCAAGCTATTATATTAAATTCTATAGTCTTCTTTTAACTACCATTGAGAAGGAAATTGAGTCTTTGCCACATATTCAAATTTTCTAATCTCTATGTCTTTGCAACCTAATGGTGTAAATCTTTAAAACTTAGATTATTAAACATTGAGTTACAAAAATATAGGGATTAGATAATCAGAGTTTGTTTTAAAGACGATCAATTCCTTTTCCTGAGAACACAATTGTGTAACATTAGATCTAATTAAATATTTCTTTTTCCCTTTTCACAATATTAGATATTACTCTTGCATACCATTATCGGAGGGGATTTATGAAAAAAAATATCCCTGTTCAAACAGAATTTTGAAATAAATATTTTTTCAATAAATTTCTGAGAATTGACCAGTTCTTCAAAAGATGTTTGTATCTTTTATACATTTAAAGCAGGAATTGCTGTTTGTCTGTTTGTTAGTTTGAATGTCCAATCATAACTCATGAACATCTTGACTGCTACTCGGTTGAACCATGGGAATGGTTTGGTTTAAGAATTTTAAGTTGAGTGGGTTGACTGTTATAGATACAGTTTATTTTCCAGGAAAAGCTGGGTTCCCAATAGAGTCTAATATATGCTTGTAAAAAATTTAGAGCGCTTCGCGCTTCTTTTAATCACCTGAGCATCTGTTCTAAAGATTGCAGACGCCATGAGTAGTTGAATAGGAGAGCAGCATACAACAAATACAAGGAGAACCATAACAACCATCTTCACTACTTTACGTTTCTGCTGAGACTGATAGGTTAGGTTCTGTCTACCCTCTACACGTTCTCCTGTAATATATGGTATCTACATGAGACTGATATGTCAGGTTCTGTCTACCCTCTACATGTTCTCCTGGAATATATTGTATCTTCATGAGACTGATATATCAGGTTCTGTCTACCCTCTACACGTTCTCCTGGAATATATGGTATCTACATGAGACTGATAGGTTAGGTTCTGTCTACCCTCTACACGTTCTCCTGTAATATATGGTATCTACATGAGACTGATATGTCAGGTTCTGTCTACCCTCTACATGTTCTCCTGGAATATATTGTATCTGCATGAGACTGATATATAACGTTCTGTCTACCCTTTACACGTTCTCCTGGAGTATATGTATCTACAGATCTATGTATTATTGAAAACTTAACTTTTGGAATAGTTGTTGTGTAAGTTTTTTAATAAAAAATTCTCAAGTCTACTTTAATAATCTAACAATATGTTTACAAGAATTCTCAGGAAACTTGTAGCTTTTAAGGAGACTGACCAATCTCTTTTAAATTCTGAAACCACTAATGTACAAGAAATCATTATAATTACAATACTCCTTTATTTTCTGTTCTATATCCTTCCCTACGATTATTTTTCTCTAGATTTCTTCCTGATGTTAACTAATGAATGATATTTTGATCCCTTCTAAACCTAGATCATTCCCAGGATTATTATTGATCTATCCTAGTATTTTTTATGTATCCTTGTATCATTGATCTATCCTAGTATTTTTTCATATATCCTTGTATCATTGATCTATCCTAGTATTTTTTCATATATCCTTGTATCATTGATCTATCCTAGTATTTTTTATGTACCCTTGTATTCTATATATATAGTTTTCTTTATCTATCCTAGTATCCTTGATCTATCCTTGTACCTTAGATATATAGTATTCTTGATCTATCATATTATCCTAGATATATAGTATTCTTGATCAATCCAAGTATGCTTTATCTATCCTAGTATGCTTGATCTATCCTAGTATTCTTGATCTATCATAGTAATCTTGATCTATCATATTGTCCTTGATCTATAGTATTCTTAATCTACCCTAGTATTCTTGATCTATCATATTATCCTGGATATATAGTATTCTTGATCAATCCTAGTATGCTTGATCTATTCTAGTATCCTTAATCTATACTAGCATTCTTAATCTATCCTGTATCCATGATCTATCATATAGTATTCTTAATCTATCCTAGTGTTCATGATCTATCTTAGTATTCTTGATCTATCCTAACCAAGGATTACAATATCCAAGTATCCTTGATCTATCCTAACCATGGATTACTATATCCTAGTATCCGTAATTTATCCTAGTATCTCAGTATCCTTGATCTATCCTAGTATCGATCTATACTAGTATCCTTGATCTATCCTAGTATCCTTTATCTATCCTAGTATCCATCTATCCTAGTATCCATCTATCCTAGTATCCTTGATCTATCCTAGTATCTTAGTATCCTTGATCTATCCTAGTATCCATCTATCCTAGTATCCTTGATCTATCCTAGTATCCATCTATCCTAGTATCCATCTATCCTAGTATTCTTGATCTATTCTAACCAAGGATTAGTATATCCTAGTATCAACCTAGAGTCCTCATCTCATTCTTTTGTTATATTTCTAATTATTTATATCTGGTCTGAGGACTGATACGATGCAAGGAATAGGAATTACAGTTGATTGAGATAAAGCTTGCCAAATCTTATTTCTGGAGCTGGTATGTGTCTGCTGGCACTCTGTTTTCTATTCAATCAGATTCTTTCAGACAAGTACCAAACCAAATATGAATTCAAAGAGACCCAACCCTGCGTATTCCAATCCGATTTTAATTAAGTTTAATTAGATCTTCTTCCTTTAAATAAGTCTTTTAATGGCTTTTAAAATGATTTGAAAAAAGAGAGCAACAAGTTTACAATTGCAGGGAATCATGAACATAAAAAAACAGACAGTAAAAATTCAGTATATAGTCGGCTCTGTCGTGCTTTTTGGGTAACCCTGTACTAAACACTGTCTAATTCGATTGAAAAGTAATTGATACGAATTCCTATCCAACCAAACCGAACCGATTAACCTTACAAACTTATCCGATCCATTCCAACTCAACCTTAAATCATAAATTCTGGCCCCAGCTGTCAGAAATATAAAACAGAAAACAAATCAAAACTTTTGATATTTCATGTATTACGTTCCTTAAAGTTTTAAATAGAATTGCGCATATTTTCAATATTTGAATTTAATTTCACAATTTCTTAAATTAAAATCCGGTTTTCTAGTTCTAGTCTTCCTTAGCATACAGGGAACATGGATCTGTTTATTGTTAATCTCTTCGAATTACACCTCTGGAATGTAGATACATATTTGATGCTACATCATGCGAACTACAGACCTAGAACCACATTTTTAAGCTGTCAGTGGAGCTGTCTTTCCAGGTTACATTTGTTGCACGAAACGTACTGGGCCGACTTTACTCTTTGTATAGTCCAGATTAGACAGTACGATTAAATGCATACACAGTAAATGTTGTACTGGCTCGGAACTTTATAAATGGGGTGTTCTCATCTGCAATTTTATTTATAATGACAATTAATCCTGATGCTTTCTATTACTATTTTGGATACAATTTGTAATAAGAAGAAATTTGGGTTGGAATAAGAAACCTATTAGATGTGACAGAAACATAACCCGGCGAGATGTCTGGGCATTCTAGAAAATGTTTAAGTAAAAAAAATACAACGTCGCGAAATAAAATTAAAAATGAAAGATATGGGAAAAAGCTGAAATGATAAAAAGAACCTGGTTGCGTTCTGCAGAACAGTTTAATCAGAATCATAGTGTAGGATACACTCATAACCAGTACTGGGACCAGGTACATCACTATTGTTACCTAGATAATATATATATATATATACTCACAACCAGTGCAGGGACCAGGTACATCACTATAGTTACCTAGATAATATATATATATACACATAACCAGTACAGGGACCAGGTACATCACTATAGTTCCCTAGATAATATATATATATACACATAACCAGTACAGGGACCAGGAACATCACTATAGTTACCTAGATAATATATGTATATACACATAACCAGTACAGGGACCAGGTACATCACTATAGTTACCTAGATAATATATATATATATATATATACTCACAACCAGTGCAGGGACCAGGTACATCACTATAGTTCCCTAGATAATATATATATATATACTCATAACCAATACAGGGACCAGGTACATCACTATTGTTACCTAGATAATATATATATATATATACTCATAACCAATACAGGGACCAGGTACATCACTATAGTTACCTAGATTATAAATATTTTATTTATATATATATATCTTAAGTTTCCATGGATCTTGGAATTGCTCTTCTTCGCTATAAATTTAGCTCTAAAGTTTCATTCACAGCAACTTTTTTAGTAAAAAAAGCAAAATAAAATTTAGCAGGTTTTGAAAAAGCAAAAATTTGTTGTGGCAAATTTTGACTTTTGACCGGCCATAAACATTCCTTGATGGGGTTAAGTAAATTATAGCCTCAAGATGATTCCGCCTTTTTGACGTTTTGTCAAACTTTACCCCGTGAATGAACTTTACACATTATTACATATAATAACTGTAAATCGATATTGATATTTTTTATATGCTATTAGGCTTTCAGGGCCGGGTCTTTGAGGCCATTTTTTCTTAGAAATTGAAATCTCAAAAAAAATTAAATTACATTTTTTACGAGCAAAATTTTTTATGTGAAAACATGAATAAAAGTAGTTGGGAAAACTAAACTAAACCAACTTTAAAAGTTTACTTTCTCAAACTTTTTAATAATATTTCCAGCTTCTTGTCTGAAGAACAAAACTGAATATAAGATTGAATGACGAACAATGACATTTTCGTTTTGGACAATAAACAACTTGGCCGGATACAGAAAATAAAATAGGATTTAAAGAAGCAAAAATGAAAATGTTCAACACTTTTGACATCTTTCTTTATTGCCCTGATAAAGAAATTTAGTCTTTGTCAAAAGCTCAAATTTTCGAATCCCTTTATCTTGAGTCTTGGCCAAACTTATTTCATCTAACAGAATATAGGTTTACAACATTAAGTTGCAAAGAGATAAGGCTTAGCAAATTAGAGTGTGTAACTTAGACTCAATTCCTTTATGAAAATCTTTGAAAGACTAATCTTATTTTCTCCAGAGTTGAGTTAAAAAGCGGGTTTAATATTGTATTTGGGGGATTTTCATGGCAGGAATAGGCGCATTCCGGGTTTTTATAAAAAAAGAGACTCAACATTGAGCCTTATTCTCCTCTAGAACTAACCAAAGTCGGTTTTATTTTCATTGGGCCGAACTCCTTAAGTCGAGCTTGGGTCGAAGATTGGTTCTTAAAGTCGGGTTTAAGGAATTACGGCTCAAGCCGAAGTTTTTAAATCGCGGGCTCTGGTATTTAAAAGAATTTATGTTTTAAGATCTTTCCCCTCGGAAGTCATGTAAATATTGTTTTTACTCAAAATACTTTTTATGTCGAGAAATAAAGATTCACGGTCTGATTCACTTTTATAATTAATTTTCATGTAAAATATTTTGAAAAAAAATTAAACTTACGATAGAATAGAATATTTTCTTTGCCGTGTTTGTGATGATTTGTTTGTTTGTTATTGGATCGCAGTACACTGTAGTAGGGAACACCTCGTGACATGAGACCTCAGTAAAATCCTCCCATCTAAACACAGTACAGTGCAGTACAGTACAGGACAGAACAATATTGTTAACAGCAGTACAGTAGAGAGCTGAACAGTACAGTAAAAAATGCAGTTCGTAACAATTGAATGAAGAAAATGAAGTAAATGATAGAACAACACCGTGTAAAAAGCCGTACAATATCGTAGAAAGCAATACAATACAGTAAAAACAGTACAATAAAGTAAAGTGGAGTACTTTACAGTAAAAAAAACATTAGAATACAGTAGAAGGCAGTACTTCACAGAAACATGCAGTAGAATACAGTAAAGGACAGTACATTACAGAAACATGCAGTAGAATACAGTAGAGGGCAGTACATTACAGAAACATGCAGTAGAACACAGTAGAGGACAGTACATTACAGAAACAGGCAGTAGAATACAGTAGAGGGCAGTACTTCACAGAANAACAATTGAATGAAGAAAATGAAGTAAATGATAGAACAACACCGTGTAAAAAGCCGTACAATATCGTAGAAAGCAATACAATACAGTAAAAACAGTACAATAAAGTAGAAGGTAGTATACATTACAGTAAATAAAACACATTACAATACAGTAGAGGGCAGTACTTCACAGAAACAAGCAGTAGAATACAGTTAAGAACAGTACAATACGCTCGAGGGCGTACAATAAAGTAAAAGATAGTACATTATAGTAAAAAACAGTGCAATACAATATAGGGCAGTAAAGAACAGTAAAGTATACTAAAAGACAGAAAAATTCAGCAAAGTCCTGGGTGGACAAGAGGTTTAGAACGTATCTGATCATTATCTAAATTGAATACTTTAAATCTAAGTTCTTAAAACTAAAATGTTTTTTTTGGGAAATGTAATTAGGAAAAGGTAATTTGGGGTAATCTTTCATGGAAAACTTTTGATTTATATCATCAAGAGAAGTGACACCAACATCAGTTTGAAAAAAAAAACACAACTAAGGTTTCAAGATGTTTTTACTTGGTTGGTTTATACTTTTCTCCTTCTTCCAATTATCTGAGAAGAGGTTTTGATTAAATCTAGGTTTAGATTAATCTTCAAAAACAAGTCTAGGCTGTCTTATATTAAATCATTTAAATGTCTGCTGAGTTGTGCAAAACTTCCAACTTCTCAACTCCACTTTCAAATGAATGAAATGTATCCACGCTGTAAAAAGTGAACGCTTACGTTTTCAATTTGAAAACTGTGACAGGTTTAAGAAACTACAGATATAACTCTAGGTTTAAGAAACTAAAGATATAACTCTAGTTTTAAGAAACTAAAGATATAACTCTAGGTTTAGGAAACTACAGATATAACTCTAGGTTTAAAAGACTACAGATATATATCTAGGTTTAAGAAACTACAGATATAACTCTAGGTTTCAGAAACTAAAGATATAACTCTAGGTTTAATAAATTACAGATATAACTCTAGGTTTAGGAAACTACAGATATAACTCTAGGTTTAAGAAACTACAGATATAACTCTAGGTTTAGGAAACTACAGATATATATCTAGGTTTAGGAAACTACAGATATATTTCTAGGTTTAGGAAACTACAGATGTAACTCTAGGTTCAAGAAACTACAGATATAACTCTAGGTTTAGGAAACTACAGATAAATATCTAGGTTTAGGAAACTACAGATATATATCTAGGTTTAGGAAACTACAGATATATATCAAGGTTTAGGAAACTACAGATATATATCTAGGTTTAGGAAACTACAGATATAACTCTAGGTTTAAGAAACTTCAGATCTATATCTAGGTTTAGGAAACTACAGATAAACTAGATCTTTATCTAGGTTTAGGAATCTACAGATATATATCAAGGTTTAGGAAACTTCAGATATATATCTAGGTTTAGGAAACTACAGATATAAATCTAGGTTTAAGAAACTACAGATCTATATCTAGTTTTAGGAAACTACAGATAAACTAGATCTATATCTAGGTTTAGGAATCTACAGATATATGTCAAGGTTTAGGAAACTACAGATATATATCTAGGTTTAGGAAACTACAGATACAACTCTAGGTTTAAGAAATAACAGATATAACTCTAGGTTTAGGAAACTACAGATATAACTCTAGGTTTAGGAAACTACAGATATATATCTAGGTTTAGGAAACTACAGATATATATCTAGGTTTAGGAAACTACAGATATATATCAAGGTTTAGGAAACTACAGATAAACTAGATCTGTATCTAGGTTTAGGAAACTACAAATAAACTAGATCTGTATCTAGTTTTAGGAAACTACAGATAAACTAGATATGTATCTAGGTTTAGGAAACTGCAGATAAACTAGATCTTTATTTAGGTTTAGGAAACTACAGATATATATCTAGGTTAGGAAACTACAGATATATATCTAGGTTTAGGAAACTACAGATATATATCTAGGTTAGGAAACTAGAGATAAACTAGATCTGTATCTAGGTTTATAAAACAAGAGATAAACAATTTGCAAAAGTATTAGGAATCCTTTTCTGTTTTTCTTTATAATCTATTTAATTTCTTAACTTTATCGAGGTCGAGCAATGTTTTTTATTCCAGATCCTTTCTCTTTTAACGTTTTCTCCCATTCACATTTTTTACACCAATAAATGATTTTGTATTTCCTATGACAAATCTTTTCTCCTTTCGAGTAACTTTATGCTTGCTGATTGGTATGGGTAGCCATTTTTCTCTAAATGTTATCAAGGCTGGTTCTATTAATTTTCTGAAAAGATTTATTACCTCTTTCCTATTAAGAAAAATTTTTATCAGTTCATAATGTTGTAGACCATAAATCCAATTTGAAACCTTTCTCCAAGAGATGTCGTCTTTTCAAAAAAAATCCCCACTTCATCCGAGAGAAACCCAAACCAAATACCTCCGACAACAGGTACAAGAATCATTGAAAAGTGAAAACGTTTAAATACAGTAAATGCTTGAAATCTGTGATTAACTCTGCAATTATCAACAATTTTGTTTAACCAACCGGGTATTTATTTTCAGTAGGCATTCAACATTTTAAACCAGATCCCATCACTCCTTAATTTCCCCCACATATACTCCAATAGTAAGTTTATATAATTAAATATTAAAAACGATTTATGCCAATATTATATTTACTAAAACTGTATTTTTGTTTGTAGGTTTGAAATAAAGCTATTTTATTTGATGTTTAGTAGAGAAGATATCAACCAGATCAACTCGAGCCTTTTCTTTTCTACAAATGTACATTGATTTTACTTTNGAGTAGAGGAGATATCAACCAGATCAACTCGAGCCTTTGTATTCCACAGATGTACATTGATTTTACTTTAAAATAACTTTGCATCTACTAGCATCTACATTTGCCAAACCCCATAACATCATAGGCATTCATTTAAATTCATTTAAAACTATTTTTCTGATTTTATTTGTATTTATTGTAAATATTTTCTATATAAATTGTAATTTATTTGTTCTCAGCATGAAAACATACCCACAAAAAAAGATGAATTTAGCTGTTCTTCATATACCTTTTGGGGCAGACAATGGCTAGTATAAAGCGAAACATAAGATAAAAAAGCATTTAGAAAAAAATATAATTTTATAATGTGTTTTATGATAATGCATTATATTTAATGTTTGTTGTAATATTTAAATTAAACTGTATAAATAATGTAATTTTGCATAAAGTATTTTTCTATCAAATACTCTAGGATAAAATCTGCATTATTGTTCTAATCTACTTTTATCTTCAAAGCTATCTATATTTGTATACTTTGCAGGTTTAAGGGAGTGTTCAGAGTTTCTCAAAGAAGGTTAAAAGAAACAAAAATAAAATTTGTCTAAGCACGACATTAGTTATGCAACATAAAAATATATTACTAATATTAAATGAATTCTAAGATAAACGTATATTCATTACATGGCTACTATTGGTTTTTGGCATTGGTTTAAAAAAGGTTTATACAATGCCTTATATGCCTTAGCTAAATGGTAATTAGTACCTAATTATTACCTAAACCCTTATTGTCTGGCATTGCAAAATTCAGATTATTTTTGGGGCTTTGTGAATGAACTATAAGACTGCTGAAGACTGCTGTTTTGCATTTGCGCCATAAAACAAATCACATTAACAACTGTCAAAATTTTAAAATGCATTTGCAAATTTTTGTATTATCATTTAATTTTTTTTGTCTCGTCCGGAAAGATTTAAAAACGCCGTTTTTATAAAGACTCTGTTATACTGCTCCTCTCATCTCAACTCTACCTCTCCCTGTAGCTCAACTATCCCTCCCTGCCGGTCAACTACTCTCCCTGCTGCTCGACTACCCCTCCCTGCAGCCCAACTACCCCTCCCTGCAGCTCAACTACCCCTCCCTGCAGCTCAACTACCCCTCCCTGCAGCCCAACTACCCCTCCCTGCAGCTCAACTACCCCTTCCTGCAGCTCAACTACACCTCCCTGCATCCCAACTACCCCTCCCTGCAGCTCAACTACCCCTCCCTGCAACTCAATTACCCCTACCTAAAGCTCGACTACCCCTCCATGCAGCTCTACTACCACTCCCTGCAGCTCAACTACCCCTACCTAAAGCTCGGCTACCCCTCCATGCAGCTCAACTACCTCTCCTTTTAAACTCCCTTTAAAGTAGAATCTAATCCCTGAGTTTTCAAATCCTGGTTCTCACCTGAACACTGTAACTCTTCTGTAGAGAAGGAAAGGAGATGCTACTGTTAGAGCAGAGATCCAAACCATTACAATCAAGTACCTAGAGAAAAATACTTCAGAGATGATTTTTAATTCTGCTCGACCTTATTCCTTTTATTCTAACGTTTGCCACACCTGTGGCCGAATTTGAAGAATTTGAGCGGCGGTTTAAATCTAAGCCGCGGCTTAAATATGGTTGGTTCAACTTAAAATTGTATCAAATGTTTCAAGATTTAAGCCGGCGCTTAATTTAAACCGGGTTTTGGCAGATTTAAACCGCGGCTCAAATTCTTTAAATTCCATCTCAGAAAACTTATTTTGTTTCATTTCCTAATTCTTGCATTGACATTTACTGCATTTTTCTATTTCACAGGTGTATGTAAATTGTAAATTGGAGGTACAGTCCAAACTAGAACCGCAAAGGTTGGCCCAATTCTGATGTTCAAATGTAAATCGGTTGTGTGTAATTTAATGCAGTGAAATAACTTTCAGATTGTTATATTTCTCTATATTTATTATATTCTCATCTTTGTGTGGTTAAACCTACATTCATCTAGAAATCTTCTGCTGTAATCATTGCAGCAGAAAATTAAAAATTATCCCTTTCCAACAACACATGTCTACATAGACAACTTTTTATTATTATTTCCCAATGCCAACACCACTTGGAGACAAGAGTTCCAGAGTCTCAAATTCTCCTTTTTCCCAAGATCAGTGCATACATCATCTTTCAATATAGCAAGCTGGAGAATTTGGCCACTTCGAACATTTTGTATACATAAAATTAATTTTTAGCTTTTTTTGTAAATGTTATATTGTATACTGAATAAACATGTACATACATACATATTTCGGTTTGACCAGTGCATACAGAAGTAGTAATCCGCTCCAAACTTGTTAAATCTCATATTTAAATATTTAAAATCCTGATTTCAAGATCTATACAGTCACGGATCTAGAGATTTCAGTTTCTGATCAAACCTTTAATCTTTAATTTTAGTTTCAACCTTGAAGAGATTAGATATGGCCACCTTATATAAAACTGATTCTTTACATTGTTTATATAATCCGTTGATATACAGTGGGATACCAGAATACTGTGACAGAGGAAGATGACGTTAACGCAATCTTATCTTGATGTTAATAAAGCAAATAGTTTTACCAGCAAGCGTTAAAATCAACATTTAAGTTTAAGTGAAATACATCTTTGTAAACTTCACAATTTCATGTTCATTGGACTACTTAAAATTATAACTTGAGTCTAACATCCGTCTTCTGATTTCACAAAACCATAAAAAAAACATTTTAATTAAACAAATTCTCTTAATAACATTATTTTGAATAGATTACATTAATTAGATTAATATTGTACCTTGCTTTCCTCTGTGTTACCCTGGTTTGCAGGGGGAATATAACCGCCAGGAACCTGAGCAAAATATTAGTTAATATCTCAAGGATTTTTACTTTTTAGCAGATTGATAATTTAGTCGATTTATTGATTGGTTGGTTGATTTTTAGTTTCCTGATGTACTTATAAGTTGGTTGAAATTAATTAATTGGTTGAATGTTTGACTGATTTATTGGTTGATTAATTAAATGGTTCACTTTTTTTGGTCGGTTGCGTCATTTTTTGAGTAGGTTAACTGATTGACTAGTTGAATGATTGATTGATTGATTGATATGTTGAGAAATGTATCTGTAACTGTTGCGTGTAAAATCTATGTGTGTTTGTGTGTATGCCCTAAAACAGTTCTGTTGACATTTTTCAACAATTCTGTTTGGATGATATAAAGGAGAGAGGGGGGGGGGGATTTGGAGAATGCGCCCACACGGCATCTTTACATTTCTTTACAGCACTATTTTTGGAGGGAGGTTTTCTGTGTAAAATTGATCTAGCAAATATGTTTATTTTTTATATATGGGGGGGGAGGCCCTGTTCCACCACCAGTTACCAGGATAATTTGTTCATGTATGTAGATTGTGGCTTGTAGACTGTAGATTGTAGATTGATTTACTTTAAATATAGGCTTGTTTGATTTGCCAAAGATACAGTGATATAGAGTGATAAATGATTCAACCCTGGCAACCAGTATCAAGTAGGAAACACTAAATCTTTGCATAGTAAACACAAATATTCGGCAGTAAATCCGCAAACTGAAGACTTCTACTCTGATAAAATTTGAAAATGTACATTGCACAAGACAGTTTTTTTAATATAACCATTTGTAAACAGTCTGTTGGATTTATTTTTGATATTAGCTTGATATTTCTGTTTGATCATCTCAGAAGTTTGTATTACATTTTCTCTATAAAACATAAAAATATATAATCTATTTGTATAAAATCAAGGAATTAAACGAAATATTAGAGAAAAAATTATGAAACGTCACAAAGGGATGAGGGTAGCCGACATTAATCCCTCCCTGTGCAAAATTGGTTCAACTTTAGAACATTTCACACTACAGAGTTAAGTTTCAGAGTAAAACTTTATCTTAATTTCAAAATTAAAATTTAACTTCACAGTTTATAATTTCTAAGTTTTATAGAAATCTGGCAATATTTGCATTCCAGCTGCATTTAATCTAGTTACATTATTCTAAGTACAGGATAATAACAAATCTTTCAATTATTATTTTTTCGCTATTTAAAGGGACTGTCGAAGAAATTCGAACTGACCCTAATTCACGGCGTCACATATCCGATTCACAACAGAACAGGGTTGTAATTGTAAATAAAGATTTAAAGAAAACGCAAAAAAAAGTAAAATCTAATTTTATTTTTAGATTGATTTACTTTAAATATAGGCTTGTTTGATTTGCCAAAGATACAGTGATATAGAGTGATAAATGATTCAACCCTGGCAACCAGTATCAAGTAGGAAACACTAAATCTTTGCATAGTAAACACAAATATTCGGCAGTAAATCCGCAAACTGAAGACTTCTACTCTGATAAAATTTGAAAATGTACATTGCACAAGACAGTTTTTTTAATATAACCATTTGTAAACAGTCTGTTGGATTTATTTTTGATATTAGCTTGATATTTCTGTTTGATCATCTCAGAAGTTTGTATTACATTTTCTCTATAAAACATAAAAATATATAATCTATTTGTATAAAATCAAGGAATTAAACGAAATATTAGAGAAAAAATTATGAAACGTCACAAAGGGATGAGGGTAGCCGACATTAATCCCTCCCTGTGCAAAATTGGTTCAACTTTAGAACATTTCACACTACAGAGTTAAGTTTCAGAGTAAAACTTTATCTTAATTTCAAAATTAAAATTTAACTTCACAGTTTATAATTTCTAAGTTTTATAGAAATCTGGCGATATTTGCATTCCATTTGCATCTTTTCTATTTACGTTATTCTAAGTGCAGGACATAAATATTTCAAATATTATTTTTTCGCTATTTAAAGGGACTGTCGAAGAAATTCGAACTGACCCTAATTCACGGCGTCACATATCCGATTCACAACAGAACAGGGTTGTAATTGTAAATAAAGATTTAAAGAAAACGCAAAAAAAAGTAAAATCTAATTTTATTTTGATTCTTGACTGTTGAACTGGTGTATCTTTTAATCCATATTTTTCCGCTTCTGAAAGAGATTGTCGGACGGATTTTCTAATCTTTTTAATTAAATAATGTCAAACCCCCTGAGCGGATTAACGATTATGTTTTTCTGTCATAATGAATGACATCTCTAGAATTTCTTGACCTTTAGTTCCCAATTTCGTATACAGTCACTTAATATATTAATGAGTTTACCTATCAAAGGATATAGCTGAGAGTGTAAGTACACTAGCCACTGTACAGAGTACTCTATAGAACACATCCAACTTACAGAATATAGGAGGCAGGATATACAGAGAGGAGGGAGATAGAACCTGGAACAGAACAACTAGGTAGATAGAACCTAGGTCAGGTAGATAGAACCTAGATCAGGTGGATAGAACCTAGATCAGGTGGATAGAACCTAGATCAGGTGGATAGAACCTAGATCAGGTGGATAGAACCTAGATCAGTTGAGTTGAACCTAGATTAGGTGGATAGAACCTAGAACAGGTGGATAGAACCTAGATTAGGTGGATAGAAATTAGATCAAGGGGATAGAACCTACATCAGGTAGATCCCTCTGTATCCCCTGTATTCCCTGTATCTCCCTGTACCCCCTATGTATCCCCCTATAAATAACCTGTTGTATCAATGATGTCCAGGGACACCAGGCTGAGATGAGAAGATCAGCTATGGATAGGTTCACCAGGTAGAAGTTTATTGTGGTTCTATAGATAAACTTATATTAAAAAAAAGATAAAGGAAATAAAGTCTTCGGATTCTTCCATTCTGAAAAATACTTTTTAGGCTTCAAAGTTTATCTAGTAATAAAAAACTGAAGATAATGATGCATAATAACTGGTTTTGGTTTTAACTGACATATTGTAATAGATTCTATCAGGAATAGAGAGGGAGGGAAGAGAGAGGGAGGAAAGAAAGAGGGAGGTAAGAAAGAGGGAGATTCAAAGACGATATTACCGAAAGAACACCACCCTTCCTTACGCCTAATAACTCCTGGAGAAATCCTCTCAGACTCTGTCTCAAAATTCGGCATATTGGGATAGTGTGCTGTGCGTAAGTACGGACCATTGAGGGAAGATAGACTGAGGAAAGAAAGAGGGAAGAAAGAGGGAGGGAAGAGAGAGGGAGGGAAGAGAGAGGGAGTGAAGGAAGAGGGAGGGAAGAAAGAGGGAGGGAACAGAGACGGAGGGAAGAGAGATGGAGTGAAGAAAGATGGAGGGAAAGGGAAATTTGATGTTGTTATTGCATCCAGAAAATAATTTTTTTAAATTTAGAAAACATTATTTCCAATTTAAGAAGAATTAATACTGGTCGCAAGACCACCAAGAAACAGATCAAAAACCTGATGTATTTGTTTCAAAAATATGATTTAAACCTAGTAAATTTAACAAAAAAAAAATTCATATAATGAGATAATTTATACCATTTGTATTTTCTGACAAATTTCATAAAAAAACTTTCACACAAATATAACAGTCATACATTTAATGATTAAGCTTAAATGTTGCTGAAAAATGTTAATATTTCAATCAATTCTTGCAGACTCTTGCATTAATACTTTAAAAAATGTGGTTTTTTTCAGTTTACAATGAATGCAAATAATTTAGGTTTGTTTCAAGCCCCTGCCCGCACTGCCCAATGACAACTTAGCACTAGGACTCTATAAACTCTCCATTTAATGATTTCATATTCGATTCACAAATATACCTATAACACCTTTGTCTTATGCAGAAACAATAGGGAAAGTTGTCATAGTTAAACACTTTTCACAGTAAAAGAACGATATGTTCCTCATTATTGATCAGATAAAGGTTTAGAGGGTACCATTGTAAATCGGTAACAGCCCTCTCTAAATGGATGGTCTCTCGAAATTAGAACAATAGTCCCTTTAAGAGGCGTACACTAAACAGGTCCATCAAAAAATCAAAATAAAGTTTATCTCTTGTTAACTAGTGAGTGGGGATGCATCCCTGAAATAAGATCGTGTTTAATTCCAGATTTATTGTAATCTACGTTCTTCAAATCATAACAACCAAATGTAACCTTATTCATGTTTGCTCATAAAAAAATGTCGTTAAAATGTTTTTTATAAACACCGAAACGGCCAAAGATAAAAATATGGCCTAAGAAAGTTCACAAATGACAACAGACAAATCTGTAAAAATATACAGCGTTTTTTTTGTAGTAAGTGCTAAGAAAACATGGTCACAGTTACAGTATGATTAAAAGCGAAGTGAACTGAGCTGAAAACTTGGAAACTCTTATCCCGATACCTTAATATGAATATTCTTTGTGGAAACTTTTAAATTTATATTAAATCCGCTCTTGTTGGATATTACATTTCCTACTACATGTAATAAAGATATGTTTGATTACAAATACAGATACGATGCTATATCGATTGGACTAAAATCCGATTGAACTAAAGTTGCAGCTGTTCCCAAGCCGGCTTTTAGAGCATTTAAACAAATATAAATTTAATCATGATAATATGAACTTATTAAAAAATATATTTTATCACATTTGAGGATTATAGTCCTTTTAAATGTTAGTCTTAATCGATCATTAGTCCAATTGATATTACACAACAAATGCGGGAAAATTAAAAACCGGATTTTTAAAAGTTGAAGAGCGCATCTCTAATCTCTAGAAATTAATCTAAAGACTAAATTAGTCTTTAGATTAGCAAAAAGAGAGGATCAAGCATTGATCTCGATATCCACCATTCTTATGTTTTTAGCTCTGAGCTGATTCTCTCTTTTTATTAATTTCGAGACTAACCTAATCTTGTGCTTGTATCCTGAAAAGTGTATAAAATTCAACCAATCAGAGTCGCGTATCAGAAGCCGGGAAATTTAAAATTTCGCGCGCCATTTAAGATGAATATACTAAAACGAGAGTGACTCTCTTATTTTTTAAACCGGTTTTTAAATTTTTCTGTAATACATCCAAAAAAGAGTGGATTAAACAAGAAATTAAAGTGTCCACATTGGATATTCGGATTAAGAAGTCTGGATTAAAGGTATCCCATTCTAAAGTTTTCAGCTCTGGAAGTCTAATATTTAAAAAATCTAATAATCTGAACAAACTTTATTCCCTGACCCTAGAGCTAGATATAAGCTGAAAACTAATCCTGTTTTAACTGAAAAAAAATCTTTGAACGTATATCAAGTTTAAGTCATGTGCACTTCATGCATTTATATCCATGATGATTAATCAAAATAAATATTACACATATATCATATATATTTATTCTAAACTGTATGATATTCACAAAGTTTACTTCAAAGAATATTTTTAAAAATGTTTTAGCTTAAGGAATTTCAATCTAGAATTAAGCATTCATTTTGCTCAGGAAAACTTGATTTTCTTGTAAAAGTTTTAAGAGTTTCCATATTTAGGAAAAAACTTGAAAATAAATAAATTCTTAAATCCAATTAAATAAAAAAAAACCCTGATCTTTACTTTTTGTTGCTTATTCTTATCTAAACCGTTCATATTCAAAGATTAAAAACCAAAGCGCACGAAGTTCAAATATTTCTGGTTTTCATTGATGAAAGATCAATATTTGAACAGTAATTTTCAAAATTGTTTTCAAAGTTTTTTTAAACAAAAAAAAATGGATATCTTACTCTTCTTTGATCAGATAAAGCTTTTAAGGGTATCATTGTGAATTGAATATGTCACAATGTCTCTTGAAATCAAGTAAACAGAATTAGAAAAGTAAGGTTGCACCATGACTGCCCTCCCATCCTTGTCTAGAATAAACTGTAAAATACTATGAGAGAGTGTTGGTTCTAAACTGCCTCCAGCTGTATGGAGTTCTGAAGAAATATACAACAAACTTTATTATTGATTAATATACTCAGTCTTTTATCTGTTTAAAAACTTTTTACAAATTTCCCCGTTTAAATTAAAAACTAAAACCCATTATGTTAAAAGCTTTGATTTATATTGCTGAATGTTTATTTTGTATTATAACTTATTTTTTGTCGCTCCATCAGACCAAAAAAGTAAAAAAAAAATACAAAAATCCAGTTTTAATCAGAAATAACCCGTTTTCTCCTTCTAAAAGCAGAAAAAAAAGCAATTATAAATCAAGTTTTATTTGTTACTATAAGTACAAAGAATAATATCCTTGAGAAATAAATTATTTGATTACTTTTTCAATATTCCAGCTTAAAGGGAGTGTTAGCGAAACGATAAAATGATGTGTACAGGGATCCGTTCCGAATGCCACTTTTCTAGGTTTTTTTTTAACAAAGTTAATAAACGTGAAATACCTTTTAACATAGTTCATGAACTTTAACTACTTTTTAACATAGTTCATGAACGTAAACTACTTTTTAACATAATTCATGAAAGTAAACTACTTTTTAATATAGTTCATGAACTTTAACTACTTTTTAACATAGTTCATGAACGTAAACTACTTTTTAACATAGTTCATGAACGTAAACTACTTTTTACCATAGTTCATGAACTTAAACTACTTTTTAACATAGTTATTGAACTTAAACTACTTTTTAAAATAGTTCATGAACTTAAACTACTTTTTAACATAGTTCTTGAACTTAAACTACTTTTTAACATAGTTCATGAACTTAAACTACTTTTTACCATAGTTCATGAACTTAAACTACTTTTTAACATAATTCTTGAACTTAAACAACTTTTTACCATGGTTCATGAATGTAAAATACTTTTTAACATAGTTCATGAACTTAAACTACTTTTTACCATAGTTCAGGAATGTAAACTACTTTTCATTATTTTAATGTATAAGCTTACTTAGTGACGTATAGACAGAGTTACCTACAAAGAATAAGACATAATAGACGACTGAACGGAAATTCTTCGATTATTTTATGACTTCTTTTTTGTCTTGAGTTTTCATTCAATAATTCAGATCCCTCCCCCCCCCTTTCATCAGTGACTGACAGAAATAGCCTCCTTGCGGAGTCATCCTCCTTTATTTTTGGTGAACAGTCTTTTAAAGATAAATGATTTTGTGACAAAATTGGGTTAAAATAGGAAACTGGATCGGGTTAAAAGCAGGAAAGAGAACTGATGACATATATGAGATTTATTATTTCTAGAATTCTTTCATACTCCGGGTTCAACAAGTAGAAGGAATGATTTATAAAAAATATATCAAAAATGGAGGGGGGTGGGGGTAAATTAGAAGGATATGAGCTGAGTAGAAAGATAGGAAGAGTGTAGATTTGAACAAATAAGAAGGATGTGTAGGAAGAGAAAAAGGAGGATTACGGTATAGGAAAAGAAGAATGCATTGGAAGAGGAGAAGAATGTGTGCAAAAAGAAGGATGTGTATGTAGGAAGAGAAGAAGGATATGTAGGATGTTTGTGAAGGGCGAGAAGAAGGATATGTAGGAGGTATAGGAGGTGTATGTAGGAAGAGAAGAAGGATATGTAAGATGTGTATGTAAGAAGAGAAGAAGGATATGTAGGAGGTATAGGAGGTGTATGTAGGAAGAGAAGAAGGATATGTAAGATGTGTATGTAAGAAGAGAAGAAGGATATGTAGGAGGTATAGGAGGTGTATGTAGGAAGAGAAGAAGGATGTGCAAGATTTGTATGTAAGAAGAAAAGAAGGATATGTAGGAGGTATAGGAGGTGTATGTAGGAAGAGAAGAAGGATATGTAGTATGTGTATGTAGGAAGAGAAGAAGGATATGTAGGATGGTATGTAGAAAGAGAAGAAGGATATGTAGGATGGTATGAAGGAAGAGAAGAAGGATATGTAGGATGGTATGTAGGAAGAGAAGAAGAATATGTAGGATTTGTATGTAGGAAGAGAAAAAGGATATGTAGGATGGTGTGTAGGAAGAGAAGAAGGATATGTAGGATGGCATGTAGGAAGAGGAGAAGCATGTGTAATATTTTTACGTAAAGAAGGAATATATTGGAAGTGGAGAAGGATGAGGAGGAAGAGTAGAAGGAAGAAAACAAGTAAAGGCCCTAAGAGAGAAGGAATTGGGAGAAGGCTAGTAGTCACCTCATTGCTCTGTGTCTAACGACAGCAAGGATGACAAGAACGTTTCCAAATATTGAGATGAGAACTGTCCCACATACTCCGAGTATCTTCAGATACTGCCTAGATAAATAATAAAGTTAGCTCCGGGTTCAGGGAAACCAAGATAGTATTCTTGATTCAAATTCTACATGTTTCTTCAGAGTTTTACAAAAACAAACCATAGGTCAAAACCGGAAATGACAGTAAAACTGAAGCATCCTGCGTCAGTAGTCTTTTGCATAGAGTATCTTTACAGGTTTATACAAATTCCAGGTTTATCTTGATATACTAAAGTTTATCTGAGAAGCAGGAATCTAGGTTTTTCTGAATAGCAGGTCAATCTAAACATAATAAAGTTTATCTGAATATAGCAGGTCAATCTAAACATAATAAAGTTTATCTGAATAGCAGGTCAATCTAAACATAATAAAGTTTATCTGAATATAGCAGGTCAATCTAAACATAATAAAGTTTATCTGAATAGCNCCCACAAAAATATCTTTCTTTAATTTACAGACATATTAAACTTTTTAAAGATCTGTAAATCCTGAGTTTGAGCGCAAATTCGACGTTCAAAACTCCTACTTTGGGGATGGATACGTTTTCAGAATTGGTTTTTTTTGAAATTATTAAATAACGACGACATAAAATATAAAAAAGTTCTACAATAAACAGAGACGTCAAGTATAGGTAATAAAAATAAAAATAAATCTTATTATCGAAAATATGTAATCTTGATCAATTATTAGTTTCTAATTTCTCATTATTCTGGTTTCTCATAATTCACAAAGATGTTCGAAGATTTTCTAGAATTATTATTGAAAAGACGACATTTGAAGATTTTGACGAAATATGCGAATAAATTCAAAGAAGATAAGAAATTCAATATAATAATGAAAACGAAATAATCGATTTTAGCATTGATTTATTGACAAAGGAAGTGAGTTTTTGCCACAAACTCTAGCTGTTTCCCCCCTATATCTTAGCAACCCGATGTCGTAGACCTTTGATATTTCAAACTATGAATTATGTTAGATCAAATAGTTTGAGTTTGAAATAACATCGGTTTACATCATCAGAGCTGGGAACTTTAGAATGGATAAACTTTAATCCTGACTTCTTGATCCGAATATCCACTGTGGAAACTTTTCATTTTTGTCCTAATCCACTCTTTTTCTCTCTCCTTGTATATCCGTTAATTGTTTTCTCCAATGAGAATATTTCTGTTCTCTCATTGGTTGCCCGCTTTTTTCTGATTGGCTGCTACAGTTTATCAGATGATTAAATATTAATTTGAATTTTATCCTTTTTCATACACTTTTAAGATAATCTTGCAAGATTATGTTAATCTTGAGATTATCAAAAAGAGAGGATCAAGCATTAATCCCGATATCCACCATTCTAAAGTTTTCAGCTCTGAGCTGAAAACTTTAGAATGGGATATCCTTAATCCCGATCGGTTAATTAATCTAGAGATTAATAACATGTGTAGAACAAGCCATATTTAATCTGGAGATTAAGAAAAAGAGTGGATCAAGCATTAATCCTGATATCCCAGCTCTGGTTTCAAAGATATAGGGATTAGAAAATTTGAGTTTGTGGCGAAAGAAGTTTTCCACAACACTGCATACTCAGTTTTAACTATCTTACATAGCCGGTCACTCCCTTTAAGGAAACTTTTCCTTCAAACTTTTTGATAAAATGCATTTTAAGGCAAATTATGGAAACAACCTACCCGAATATTTTTACAAAGGAATTTCAGTCTTTGCACTCTGATTTTTTTCTTTGCAACCAAAGTTCGTACGTCGCAGAACTATGTATTCTGAGTCCGTATTTAATGAATTTGAGCCGCGTCTCAAATCCGCGAAAAACCGGTTAAAATTGAGCGCCGGCTTAATTATGAATTTTAAGTGGAACCAACCATATTTGAGCAGCGTCTCAAATTAAAGCCGCGGCTCAAATTCTTTAAATTTGGCCTCTGATAGATGAAATAATCCAAGTTTGAAATATCAAAGGTTTTCAGTGTCATGTTGCAAAGATAAAGAAATTAGAAAATTTGAGTTTGTGGCAGAGACTCAATTCCTTTAAATTTTGTATTATTACACGTAGAAACAGTTTAGGAATCTCAAGACCAGTTAAAGGAACTATGGAGAGAGACAAATTTCCGTTTGAAGTTGAGAACCCAGGCCAAATTAGATATTGACAATTGTATTACAAAATGCATTCAACCTTTAAAGGGAATGTTACATAATTTAAACTTATTTATCAACGATTCACAAAACGCATTATCCTTTTAACTTATTTAAATTGAGAATTAAATTTTGTGTTCTTCTGAAAATCAAGAAAATATCTAGAAAAATAACAGCCACGAAGGAAAATGGATGAGATGGGACTATTCCTGGATAGAAATATATATAGGGGAAATCAAACCGTTGACAATCATTGACGGCATTCTTGAATTTCAGTTACCTAGAATACACTGAGATATTGACATCTCTGAAAGTTAGTTATCACATTTTTAAACAGCTTAAGTTTGCTTTGACCTTGGGGTTTACTTAGGGATGCTGGATCTTAGCTACCTCTCCGTGTGTATTAGCCTGAGTGTACACTTAGTATAGTTTACTGATCAAGGATATTACGAGATTATGACCTAATCATACAGTACAAACATCAAATATGCAGTACGCTTTCGGAGTACAAGTGTATAGGGAGGTTTTGTATCTTAAATTTTACTCAGTTTTCTCAGATCCGTTTATTAACGATGAAATATTGCTCTGTAGAAGACTGCAATAGTACGTACTCCTGTGAAAATGGAATCCTGCACACTATAATGGACTAGTAATTTTAATAGTTAAACGGAAAACTTAAATTCTTCATTTAAATATTTTCAGAAATCACCCCCGAGTACTGTAATATACTATATTTATATAATGACCTTTGTAAGGGAAGTACGGCTTGTACAATTAGTAATGGATTAGCGTACATCATCACTCCATACAATATAACCTCGTTGGTTTTACAACACCAACTTACTTATACTTTTGTGTAGCCCTAGGCTTATGCATGTTAAAATACAACGCGCTTGTTTCTAGTTAAAGTTTCAAGGAGTAATTGGCTTAATACTGCTTAATGTTTGCATGAGAGCGTGCACATCTTGGTTTCCAGTGAATAATAAGAAGTGGACTTCCGAATAATTAACTACAATAAGTTCTCAAACAAGCAGATTTGATAAATAGCGAGAAATAGTTGAACTGTGTAGACTTAGTTAAACCACTTCTTTTCCAATTAAACTGCAGACTGGCCGCACAAGAAAGCTGTTTAACTGCAAGTCTACGGAGTGTATGTAGTCTAAATACTTCTTATTATTCATTAAATCTGATCCCTGCCCTGATTCAACATCATTATTGTCTTTTTTCATTAGAAAACCTCGAACCAAGGATAATTGGATTCACCACTTTAATCACAAGGCAGACGTTTGTTTTGATGGGAATTACTTGGAACATTTTGCGACCTTTTTATTTTTATTTTTATTTTGAATTTACTTGATTTAAAAAAAAACTATTTTTTAGTAGCTCTGAAGAAATAAGTTGTTTTAGAAATTATGCCATCGTGGCGGAGCTAAATACGACCTTTGTCCGGCTCTAACCTAGCTTCCTCCACGGAGCCGGATATTATCAAAAATTAAATTATATTTAGTTTATCGTGCTTCTCATGAATATAATGTCCGAGAAAAGACGAATGTTCCAGAAAATGGGAGAAGTTGTCGGCCAAACTTTATATATATAATCTATAGGTCTAGATTCTACAAATGGTTTTTAGAAGAATTGATCTTGCATCAGATCGATCCATCAGCAGGGTTGGCGGCGGATGAAATCTTGGATTTATAAATCTCTTTAGTACCGCTTTGCCTAACTTAACATCAATTATTTTTTCATGTACAATTTCTTAATTTCCCCGTCTTTTTTTCTAAATAATCCCTAGGGATTATTTAGAAAAACAAGATCCTCCTTAATTCCATGCATTTAAGAAAATATTGTTATTTTGGCCTAAACAAAGGAACCCAGACTAAACAATACTATTACTTATTTACAAAAGAAGTGTATTTAAGCTAACTATTATTATTAAGGATTAAAGGGACAGACCGGCTATGTAAGGTAGTTGAACTGAGTATGCAGTGTTGTGGAAAGCTTCTTTAGGATTCATTTGAGACTTATAAAACTTTTTAAAGATCTGTAAATCCTGAGTTTGAGCGCAAATTCGACGTTACAAAACTCCTACTTTGGGGGTGGATACGTTTCAGAATCGGTTTTAAAAAAAAATTATAAATCTCCGTCATTCTTGAACAGACAAACGTTGAAAGGGTACAGTTGGGAATTGGATATAGCACTCTTTTAATGGAGGGGTCGCTTGAAACTACGTTTACATTTTACAGACTGCAGTCCCTTTAATGGAGGGGTCGCTTGAAACTACGTTTACATTTTACAGACTACAGTACCTTTAGGGTAGTGTGTGAGAAAAACAATACATACCCTAAAGGGACAAACATTCTAAAACCAATAACTTGTCTCTCTCTAGGTGCTCCTGTTTGGTAAAAACAATTTTGTTTATTTAGCCAAAAAACCTTATTTTTGTGTGTTTCTATCAATAATTCATTTTGACATTTATCAATTATTCTAAATATCATATGTATCATATATTTGAAGGCTTGAAACTATCAAAAAGTATATTTTTATTTCCTTTTTATTATTAAAGTTCAAACCTAAATTGTTAAACATGTGAACTTTAATGTTCGATTATTTAATATATCGCAACATTTATACGCAATGGGTGAACAAAAAAAAAGTAGGGAAACGGGTTCCTACAAGGTACTAAAGCAAGAAAAGTTATTTTTTGTACTTTTTGTACTGCAGTTTTGGGCGGAAAAGGAAACACAAGACGGATTTCACAGCCTGACATGGAATCCATTTTCACAAAACTAATCTATGAAATATTCTGATGCATCTATCCGCCCAGAGAGAACTGGTTTCAATATGTACGCAGAGTACACACAACCGCAGTTACCTTTCCTTGCATTAGTACCTTGGGTTCGTACGCATTTTTCCTTGGGCGCATTATGTCGACTATGAGTAACGGGGGAAAAACAGGTTCGTACGTATTTTTATCTGACTCATTAGGACGATTATATTAGATTTTTGTATCATGATTTCCGAGAGCAGACGAGGAAGGATGCCTAAGCTCAAATTTAATTATAAAAATTTTTATTAAAATATGTCATGAAGCGTAGGGAACCATTTTTTTCCGTTATCCCAGGGAAAAATGTGAATCTTGTAAATCTTAACAATTTTGAAAATATTGAGATCTCAACCATCATAAACTTTTTATGTACCGACTAGAAACTATACAGGGTGAGTCAAAAAAAAGTGTGATTTACGGCGCCTGGTACAAAAGTGTACCTTTTTTCGTGCAATTCGTGCAATTATGGAGATTTTTCAATATTTTTTGAATTTTTTTTTTGGTACTCCAATTGCCAAAAAAAATTTTTATTAAAATATGTCATGAAGCGTAGGGAACCATTTTTTTCCGTTATCCCAGGGAAAAATGTAAATCTTGTAAATCTTTAACAATTTTGAAAATATTGAGATCTCAACCATCATAAACTTTTTATGTACCGACTAAAAACTATATTTATCTTTACTTTCTTTTTGTTTGTGTTTTTTTTTCATAATATTGTACCATTTTATCTTTGTGCACGAAATAAATCTAGAAAAACTATTGAAACGGAATGAATTTCATATTTATGTTAAACTTAAATTAATATGTTTAAAATAAATTGGACGGTCTATTTCTATATTAAAAAAATATTTAACGGTATATATTTTGTTATTTTGTTCCAATCTACCTTTTTTAGTTCAAAGTTTCTATATCATCCCTATAGTGTTGTTTCAAAAAAGAACATTTTCTAAAATACTAAATTTAAACGAACCGACGTAGAAACAAAGTTTAACATTTCGTCTGTTAACATACAGAAAGCAATGAAGACTTTGCCACAAACTCAAATTTTCTAATCCCTATAATCTTTGCAACCTGATGCTGTATACCTTTATATTTCAAACTTAAATTATTTGATCTACCAAATTCATAGTTTGAAATATTTCAGGTTTTCGACATTGGGTTTCAACTGTATAGAAATTAGAAAATCAGAGCTTGTTGCAAGAACTCAGTTCCTTTTATTAAAAGTCAATTACCGCTAAAAAAGCAGGAATTTTAAAAGACCAATTTACGCACCAATTCCTTAATCTGGACTTTGCCTCTTTTGCAATCAAGACTTTAAATACAGATTTTAAATATTCTATTTTTGAATTTTTTGAAACAAATTTTGTGATGTGGAAAACGAGGTTTCACCTTGAGTACACACTAAATCTACATGAAAACGATCTATCGTCGGCTCTCTTCTTAACCCGGAGCTAAANGCTGGGAGTCTAGGGGGTCTAGGGCTGGGAGTCTTGGGGGTCTACGGGTTCAACAAGATTAACCTTCGAATTTACCCCGGGATTTCTTCTCTAATTAAAACTATTTACGTATCATATAAATATGAGAAACGATAAGTTTTGCTTGACCACGAAATAACTTTTAGAAAATGTATCCATCATTCATGCTTTAGTTAAAGATTAAAAGGTTAGCGCTTTATATATATATATAACATCGAACCATATATATATTTGTATATGTATTCAATTTATCATTCAATCCAAGAAACAGATGAACATATATATACCTATTTATTCCAACTGTTGATTGGGTTAGACCCATGAAACATTTTTTCTTGAAAAAAATATATATTTAAACATCTAAAATGTATATTTAAACTGCATGAACAAAGTTGAAAATACTATATATATATATAAATATATATATATATATCCATCATTCATGCTTAGTTAAGGATTAAAAGGTTATCGCTTGATAGGTTATAGATAGATAAAGTTTACTGCTAAAGTACATGTATCTGTGTACAGTACGAGATGAAAACCTGGACCGATTTGCCTCAAATTTTAATTGAGGAACTCGGTAGTTTGCTTAAAAATTCTAAGTTTAGTAGGTCGACTTTTTCATTTAACTAGCGGAGTTTCGAAGCTAATTCTTAAATAAAGGGCACCTACAAATCTTGAATAGCAACGTTTTTTTTACATTCTTGCGTTTCTTATCTTATCCTAATACTGTTTAACACAGTTGTATCTAGAATAAACCTACAGTCTATCCCAGGTTGAATCTAGAATAAAACCTACAGTCTATCCCAGGTTGAATCTAGAATAAAACCTACCCTGTATCCCAGGTTGTTTCTAAAAAAACCTACCCTGCATCCCAGGTTGTATCTAGATTAAAACCTACCCTGCATCCCAGGTTGTATCTAGATTAAAACCTACCCTGTATCCCAGGTTGCGTTTAGAGTAAAACCTACCCTGTATCCCAGGTTGTATCTAGAGTTTTGTTCCCTGGATATGGATACGCAGAAAGGTTCACCTCACTCTCCATATCACGAAACGGAGTCACATTACAGGCCATGTCTGTCCTATTATCACTCCATGTTCAATATTTGAAGTAACTAATTATTTTATTGTTTTAAACACTCTTCTTGCCTTTAGAGACGCAAAAGTTAGGATTTCTCCAAACTTGAGAACTTATCTCCTTAGGGTAAACAAAATAATCCCTGTTCACTGGGTTGGATTAGTCAGAGTCGGAAATCAATCTCTAACTACATCTAAGTCGGAGAGGATTACTCCCGATTAGGGGAAATGTTCTTAAGATCTTTCTCCGGGGTTTACTCAACTTTCTCCGGGGAGAACCTTCTACGTCTGGGTTTAACGGAGAATGATAGAGATCGGAATATCTGCTCTGCACCCCACGCAACGAGGCTGGAGAACCCCGTTCTACGCTCTCCAATCATATCTTACATCCTTCAGCCTCATCACACTTCTATCCTGTCCTAACTCTCAAACTCTGTCCTTCACTTTTAAATCCTGTCTATCAACACTACATGCAATCTAGCGTGTATATATTTACACATCGATAAACAGTCCTGAATAGACAGTCCTAAATATATTTAACAACAATCCTTTCTAGAGAACCAATCCTCTAAACTATCCTGTAATCCTTTCTATAGAACCAAATCTCTAAACTATCCTGTAATACTTTCTATAGAACCAATCCTCTAAACCATCCTGCAATCCTTTCTATAGAACCAATCCTCTAAGCTATCCTGTAATCCTTTCTATAGAACCAAATCTCCAAACCATCCTTTAATCCTTTCTACAGAACCAATCCTCTAAACTATCCTGTAATCCTTTCTATAGAACCAATCCTCTAAACTATCCTGTAATCCTTTCTACAGAACCAAACCTCTAAACCATCCTTTCATGATCACACTTTTCAGTTTTAGATTATGATCATACTTTTTCTTCTTATCATGCTCTATCCGTTTGTTTCAGAGGGTAAGAACGAGTTTCGTTAATGGTATTTTCTGCTATCTTTTAGTTATAGTTAGCGCTGAAAAAAAGTTCAATGCAACTTTAAGCAGAAAAAGACGAAATTCACCGTTTAAAAAATAAATCCGTTTCGTTGACGATTTAAAAATTAACGGTTTTTGCCGGTCGTTAGACCCAAGCCGTATTTTCCCGAGTTTTTTAAATTGCAGGCCCAGAGATTAAACTTTTTGAATGGGATATCCTTAATCCCGATCTGTTAATTAATCTGGAGATTAATAACAAGAGGAGAACAAGCATTATTTAATCTCGAGATAAAGAAAAAGAGTGGATCAAGCATTAATCCCGATATCCAGAAATCAAAAGTTCCCAGCTCAGGATAAAGAATCAGATTGAGGAAAGAAGGTTCAAGGATCTAAGGATAAGAAATAAAGACTAAAGAGTGATAGCTTCAGAATGCGAGACAAAGGATAAGGTGTGAGGGACAAAAATAAGAATAGAGAACAAAGGAATAGAAAAATTGGAAGAGTGTGGATGGAGGTTAAAGTAAGAAAGAAAAAGAAAATTTGGAAGAGTGTGGATTGAGGTTAAGGAATGAACCTGCATGAAACGAAAGTAAGCCTTATTGTCAATTTCTAAATAGTGGTCACTGAACACTGAAAAAATACTCCACGAAGTAAAAATGTATCTCTTGGATAAAAAAGAAAGAATTAGGTTTAAGAAAAATACAGATCCTTCAATACCATACTTTATTGGATACAACTAATTGAGGCAAAGTATTAAAACTAGTCCACTTTACAGTTATTATTTTATCCAACCTCCTTTGATGAGAAACAAAAAAAAACTTCTCAAACGAAAGATCTCTCTTAACTATGAATTAAACGTTTGTTGACAATAAATACAACTGCTAAACCCCCCCCCCCCCAAGTCATCTTTACCAAAAACCCCCCGAGAAGTTCCAAATCAAAACAATTTTCTCTGTAATCTCCGACAAAAGAAAAATACAAACAGTGAAACGTTTTACTAGTGAAAGATCAAATCCACAAATAACTTTGCAATCCATAGTAAATTCCACTTAAGCAGCTGGGTTTATATTTTCAGAAGTATTTACAAATGTTTTAAACTACCACATCAAACCCTCCGATCCTTAATCACTCCTCATCACCCTGATACGACAAAATAGTAAGATATTTTATCAAACATTCTGCAACATTAATAAGTCGTTATTTATTTTTACTAAGCCTGCATTTTATTGCAGGTTTGAAATACATCTATTTACTGATTATTTGGGACAATCGACAACGCCCACTTAAAGTTTTATATTTCATTTATATTTTTAAAACAAATATTAGGTTTTTAAATGACAGAAACATATGTATCGGCTATGTACTCAATTTAGTTCTTACAAAAACTAGTTTAACGCAAAAAGGACACTATAACATTTAATGGATTATCTCATTTTAGAAAGTTCTGAATCCCTGCTTCCTTAAAATAATATCATTCCCCCCTTACAGACTCCCATTTAGGATTGATATAAATAAAAACATGAATTTAGAAGATATCTTGAGTTCAGATATATGAACCTGGACCCGACACTTTTGTCAATTAGCTGGTGATAACACGTAAACGAGGCAAAATTTAGCTGATGAGGCATTTTTATTAACTTCATTCCTTCTTCCTTATTTATATACAACTTCATTCCTTCTTTCTTTTTTATATACAACTTCATTCCTTCTTTCTTATTTATATACAACTTCATTCCTTCTTTCTTATTTATATACAACTTCATTCCTTCTTCCTTATGTATATACAACTTCATTCTTTCTTCCTTATTTATATACAACTACATTCCTTCTTCCTTATTTATATACAACTTCATTCCTTCTTCCTTATTTATACACGTCTTCATTCCAACTTCCTTAATAATATAAACACCTTCTTTCCTACTTCCTTATTTATATGCACAAATTCATTACTTCTTCCTTTTTAATATATACAACTTTATTCCTTCTTCCTTGTTCATATACAACTTTATTCCTTCTTCCGTATTTATATATACAACTTCATTCCTACTTCCTTATTTATAAATACAACTTCATTCCTACTTCCTTATTTATAAATACAACTTCATTCCTGCTTCCTTATTTATAAATACAACTTCATTCCTACTTCTTTATTTATAAATACAACTTCATTCCTACTTCCTTATTTACATATACAACTTCATTCCTACTTCCTTATTTATATATACAACTTCATTACTTCTTCCTTATTTATATACAACTTATATAGACAACTTCATTCCTACTTCCTTATTTATATATACAACTTTATTCCTTCTTCCTTATATATACAACTTATATAGACAACTTCATTCCTACTTCCTTATTTATATATACACAACTTTATTCCTACTTCCTTATTTATATATACAACTTTATTCCTTCTTTCTTATTTCGAACCTGCTTGAGTAATATATATAAGTTCTTTTAAATAAAAACAGTTTAAACCTATTTCCAGCTTAATTGTGTGTGTTTTTTACCAGAAATCCTTTAAACCAATTAATGGAGATTTGTGCGATGAGCCCCCGATAATTGGTATTCTATCCTATAGCTTTGTTCATTTTATTCTTACTAAACCAACCAGTAATCCCCTACCTTCTTATTCTTAATTAGCATATTCATACAGGTCTTCAATTTTTCATATTCATTTTGTTCTTAAAACATTTTCTATGTCAGAAAACTTTAAAAACCTGGTAAAGAACTGAACCGATTGATTTAGCACTCTGGGAGCTCTAATAAAAAGATGGGTTAAATTTCAAACTTGATTTAGCAACTAAACTTTATAAACCAGGCTTGACAATTTTTGTATATAATTTCAAACTATATAACCTATAGCTTAAACTATATATTGTATTTGCATATTCCGTACATATCTCTATGTACAATCGTACCATCAATCGTACACCACTTATGTAATATGTACAATATAATATTGTTTCTGCATGCTCTGGACAAAGGAATTAAGTCTTTGCTACAAAATTAAATTTTCTAAACCCTATATCTTTGCAACCTGATAGTGTATACCTTAGATATTTCAAACTAAAATTCTTTAATCTAACCTCATTTATAGTTTGAAATCCCTAAGGTCAACAACATTGGGTTGCAAAGATATAGGGATAAGAAAATCCGAGTTTGTGACAAAACCTCAATTCCTTTCTCTGTACACAATCTATGTGCGATATAAATTTTGATTCTGCATAATCTGTACATATCTTTGAATCTAGATGTTAAAATATCTAAATCTGGTAAATGTTCTATCGGACTCGATTTCATCTGTGAATAGTTCTGTAGAAGGATTTAACAATTTGTAAAGGAATTAGGCTGATATAAACGTTTCCACCTCGAGGATGGGTAAATACTATAATACCAAAGAAGGCTTACAGGATATACACTATACAGGGTCCAAAAATTCTAAATTTCTCTGAACATCAACTAAAATGTCCGATCTAAAACTGCAAAAAAAACTTGTATCATAACAGCATGTAGCAAATATCGTGTAAACATGATATTCTGTAAACCTGCAGTACGTTGTATATTATTAACAATCTTTGTTTGTAAACTTATACGTTTGTGAACTTATGCGTTTCAATTGAATACGTAGCATAATTAGCTTAAATCGTGGGATATATCTATATATAGATTTGGCTTGTCTGTCTGGGTATCTGTTTGTCTGTTTGTTTGTTTGTTTGTTTGTATCCAATAAACGTCAAAACGGCTGAACCGATCGGGCCCAAATTTTGTTTTGTTTTACGATGTACACAAAGAGAACATGTTCACAATTAATTTAGAAGATGGGCGCGAAGCGCCCTATAAGGCTAGTAATGTACATAAATCTTAATTGCGCCGATTTCAACTTTGCTGTAATATGTAACATGATGCCTTCATCACGTGATATAGATAACAACGTAGGAATTGTAATTACGTCACTTAACTTCAACTTGTAACATATAAACTGAAAATGCATTAGTTGATAGAGTAACTCCGTACTGTTTGCTACAAGAGAGTAATTGTTCCCTATTTTGATAAACAGGGTTGAAGATTGTCCCTTTTAATTTGGGATCGATAAATAGCTTGTTGTATAGCTAGGCTTGTGTCCTGTGTGGCATTTAGAGCAATGGATTAATAGCTTGTTTAATAGCTACAATTGTGTCCCTGTGTGGCATTTAGAGCCTGGATTTTAATAGCTTGTTTGATAGCTATGCTTGACGCTTGTGTCCCTGTGTGACATTTAAACTACTGGATTAATAGCTTGTTTAAAAGCTGCGCTTGTGTTAGAGCCTGGATTAATAGCTTGTTTGATAGCTACGCTT